CCCCCCCTGCATACTGGGTAGGGATACTGCAAGTATATGTGGCTCATCCTGGCAAGTCACAGGCAGTTGGGTGTCACGGTGTCACCGAAAATGGATCATCTACCATAGCTTGGGGGCGCAGGATATCTTTCATCAGGGGCAAGCGGAGCATTTCTGTCCTGTACGCTTGGGGTTGTTGTTGCCTATGGAGATGCTGCACCATGAGATATGTTGCCACACTGGCATCGAGACGCATACACATCCTCGGCCCCTGCTGTGGGTGTTCAGGGTTTCTTGTTGGGCTGCAATGGTCCAATACACCGGTGCTTCCGGTGCTTTGTTTTCGACCTCGCCAGGCGAAGGGAGCTTTCAGGACTCGGACTGCGAGGGATGAGGTCAGATGTTCAAACAGGTTCAGGTCCGGATGATGCCAAGAGAAGATCTTCATTGTCCCATCTTGTCGTGGGTTGCGAAGCATTCCCAAATTGTATGTGAGGAGCTGAATCGGAGGAACTTTTGATAACTTTTGTGTTTGTTTCCCTGGAAGTTTGCCTCTTTGGAATGCAAAAAGGCTTTAGGCTGTCAGTGATTTTTGTGCCGCGTGCCACCGAGATTGATTTGGTCGGCATGTCTCCTTTTCAGCATCGCAGCACAATGCCCGTGACTTTTCTGTTGCCACTGTGATTTCAGGGCTCCGAGAAATGCTTGCTTTGGATCCTTGGATGCGATATCCACTGCAGGATGAATAAATTGACTAGTTGGATTCCTCCAGGATGATCAAGTCACCACTGAGAATCTGCATCTGAAACTGCGACCCCTCTCTAGGATCGTGGCGGCCCGTCAGGCAGCGGCCGTAGTCCGAGCGATGCGAAGCTGGGGTGGTGGCGGTCCAGATGGAGTCTTTTTTGGTGAGGTTTCCCCAAACAAAGAGCCATTATGAACCATTTGGACAAAAATCATGGCCAAACATACCGCGTCTCGAACGATTATATACGGCAAGTCTTGCTCGGGCAGGTGATGGACAGCAGGGCGGCCTGGTTTGGGAGGCTGGGTGTTTGAGCTTCAACCATGGAGGGGTTTGCGGTTTTGGAAGCCGAAGGTTGGAGTTGTGCAGTCGGTTTGAGTTGTAGAGGTAGTTGCTCCAGATATAGGAGTTGTTTTTTGTCGGCAGGGAAAGATCTAAGACCATGAAGAAGATCTGTTCATGGATTCGGATAAAAGGCTTCTGTGTTTGAGGCCGCTAGGCTCAAAAGTGCTTTTGGCTTGAGTGATTCCTGTCACTTTCCTGTGTTTTCGGCATTTGACCGTTTTCCATACATTTCCTAAAACGTTTCAAACGGGTGATCGACTCCCGACACGCAGGCGGATGCGGAGGAGCGGCAAAAGCGGCAGAAGCGCATGGACCGCTTTAGCAAGCACGGGGCCACAGTGGATACGATGTGTGCTTTTTTCCAAAGGGATAGCAGCAGTTTCTTTTCAAGGGTGGATGCAGTTGGAAATGAAGGATGCCTATAATAAGCATAATAGGCACTGACCTTTGCAGCAACATTTTGGCAGCCCAAGTGCTAGTGCGTTTTGCGTGTTTGCCGAAGATTGCAGCATGGCAGCCCAGCCTGAAGCGCAGAAGCAGCCTTCATGGTGGCAGAGGATCTTCACCACTGCACCAAGAGGACAGTATGCAGTGGATGAAAAGCAGCAGGTCGTCAAGGAGAATGAGTTCGTCATCATGCGCTGGAACTTGTTGTTCTTGATCTTCGACTTCATTATCATCCCGTTGCCCTTGTGGATCGACATCTTTTGCCCCATCTTTGCCGCGGTCTATGGCTTGTTCGTGGGATGGTTGGGTGCCTTCCTCTTGACGGTTTGTGCCTGGCGTTCCTTGCAGGCCAACTACTTGATGAACCGGGTGGTGGATGACACTTGGGAAGACAAGATCCCTCGCAACACCGACGAGGAGAGGCGTTTGGCGGATAACTTGCAGCACTTGGTGATGATGTGTGGTTATAAGGAGCCGATGGAGGTGATCTGCCAATCCATTGACTCCTTGGCGGCACAATCCGTGGCTCACCGTCTCATCGTGGTGATTGGCCTCGAAGAAGGCACGCCCGATGTGGCTGAGAAGGCTGCTCGCCTGAAGGAGCGCTATGCAAGGTCCTTCAAGCGCTTCCACGTGACGAAGCATCCAAAGCAGTGGGCCGGTGGCCGTGAGATCCGTGGGAAGTGCTCCAATGCCAACTACACCATGCGTGCTGCCGTGACGCGCCTGGAGGAGTATGGTGACCTGGATTTGAGCTGCACCACCGCCACCAGCTGTGACACCGATTCCATCTTCGCACCGCGCTACTTCGAGAATCTGGGCTATCAGTTCTTGACCTCCCCCAAGGCCAAAGAGGTGGTTTGGCAGGCGCCACTTTACTACAATCATTTCTTAAATGAAAGACCTTTCTATGTCCGTGCCATCGGCATCATGCGCGCAGCCTACATGCTTGGCTTCTTGATTCCCTTTAACATCAACACCATGTCGATCTTCAGCTTCTCCTTGGACCTTTGCATCAAAGGGGAGTTCTTCCATGCACACTATCAGATGGACGACATCATCTACACCTTGACCTGCATGCAGGCCGGCCTGCGCCTCAATCCACACACATCTTTTGGCTCCCTCAACGCCCTGTCCGTTCAGAGTTGAAATATCTTTCGCTCACCCTTCTTCTGTTGATTCATTCAGAGACAAAATGACATGTTCATTGCCAACCTTATCAAATCAATTGCAATTGAAACTGTTCATGAGAATCACAATAACTCACATACGTGTCCAAACGAGTGAAAAGAAGAGTGTATTGAAGCGAGGCAGTTTTGGCATGTATGAACGAGGGTCCATGCTGCAGGCTCTCCAGAAGCGCGTGGAAATTCTCATGATTCCTATGCCAGTGGTCTCTGGCCCCACTAGTGGCGGCAGCCAATGCGAGGAGTTCAGCGAGTGGTTCCGCCAGAGTGAGCGCTGGACAATCGGTGCCTGTGAGGTCTTCCACTACTTCGTGGTGAAGCGTCGCCGCTACAACTGCGCAGCGGCCATGTCCTATGGCACTTGGTTCGTGATCTACTATGGCTTCATTTTGTGCTCTCTTACCTTGACAGGACTTGCCGGATTCATCAACTATGCTTTGGTCAACGCCAAACGCGACACCATCCAGCAGATGGCAGAACACACAGGCCAGTATCCTTTGGATGCTGCAGCCAACACTGGAGTGATGATCGCAGGCTTTTCCAGCCTTGCTTGGACCTACATCGTTTTCCTGATCTTTTTCTACCTTGATCGTGAAGGTTGTAAGCTGATCTATCACTTGAAGATGAAGCCACAGGGTGCTGAAGATACTGGATTCTGTCAGAACTTCAAGGATTGGATTTTGATGTGGCCAAGTTTGGTGATGTACTCATGCGTGAGCTATTGGGCCATTATCAAGGTCGCTTTCTACGGTAAGAGGGTTTGTGGCCACGATCCGTCCAGCAAGGATAATTTGCGCGGGTTGCCGCTGGGTGAAGCCTTGACCTCCGAGGCCTCCACCGCCGCCGAAGCCTCTGAGAGTGACGCCTAATTAGGGCGGCGAACAGGGGGGATGCCCAGGGCGGAGGCTTCCCACACCGGGAGTGTGAGACATGCTAGACAAAGGGTGCTGACTGGATTGGTTTTTGTGACTGAAGGATGCTGCAGTAGCTGCAGTGAGAGGTGGTGTAGACTTCATTTTGATGGATCCTTCAGCGCATAGTTGCGAAGCATACCGTGAGAAACCTTATTGGCCTCAACTGCAGGTCAAGAATTAGGGCTGCAAAACTCCTATTTTCCTGAGCTTGTTGTAAAGTACTTAGAGACCTGGCCATTGCGCCAGACGCTAATGATTGCAGAAGCAGAAAGACTTTTGATACACTGTCCAGTTGAATTTGGGAGGAACTCACTCTTCCATCAATTGGGAGCCACTACAGTGGACTTGATCAGTTGCCATGACTTTTGCGATGTACTGCATTTATCCCAGGGCGGCCCCAGCTGCGGCCACAGACACCGCGGGCGACGGCGAGGGGCAGGCGGACGCCCCTCGGCTGCACGGGTGGACGCGAAGCATGGCTCGGGGAGGATGAAGGACTTCCTGTTATGTTGGAGGCCGTCGCTCTTAGGTTGGAGGCCGTCGCTCTTAGGTTGGAGGCGGTCGCTCTTGGGTTGGAGGCCATCGCTCTTAGGTTGGAGGCCATCGCTCTTAGGTTGGAGGCCATCGCT